TGAATTGTCCTTTTTATTGTACTTATTCTGATTCAACATAACTACCACATTTTCATTAAATTATTTTGTCATAAAATCATAAAATAAATACCGTAATGCTTAAATAAAAATAATCATGTATTTACTATACCTAACAAACAGTTAATATTTTTGTAATTTTATGCCGATTAATTATTTTTTAGATATCTTATAATCCTATAAATATTAGAAAATTGATTTGTCAACAGTATGTATACACCGTGTGTGAAAGGCTATAATTTGTACGCGTGGGGCTATTGTCCGTCAATCTTCATTGTAATAAGTTTATCTTCCAAATCAATGTTCAAGATAATGAGGATGCGACCGTGCGCAATGAAGGACAACGGTCGGCTTGAGAACCACATCCTCAGTCTGATGCACTTTGTCCCGTCTATGATGTGTCGTTTAGTCCGAACCGTCCGTGACATGACCGACTTATCTTCAAAGATTTATTGTGCAATCGTCTTCCTTTTATTGTGCAAGACGAATACGTACTCTTTCGTCTCGCATATGTGTACCGCAAGTATGCGTATTTCTACAGGTAATTGAACAAATTAAACATATTCGCCTACAATTATTTTTAACAGTTTGAATTAAATTCGAAGAATATGAAAAGTAATCCAGTTAAAATTGTATTAATAATTATTATACTGCATGAAGTTGAAAATATTAGATGGAGATTATAGAATATCATTTATGAAAATGCGTACTTTTTCGTAAATGATATTTTCTAAAATTTTAAAATCTTAAAAAATTCTAAAATAAAAAATATATATTTCGAAAGATAGATCTTCTTGCGTAAAAAGAGCAAAAAAGTAATATTTTTCTAAACTACTATATTTTTTTTATATATCTCTTTCCGCGTATTTTCGATACAATTTAAAAAATGCGCGATCACGAAACTTAAAATAAAACATCTCATATGAGCGCAGATATGGAATATTCATCGACGCCGGCCCTTTCGGAGGAATCGATGTCTATTTTTGAGGAGATGAAGAACCGTCTGTCCACTTTCGAACGCAGATTGCGAGCGGTAGAGCATCCCGGTAAAATCGTGAGATTTATGTATGACGGAGACACGAAAGGACACTCATGCTTTTGCAGTTTGGCGGATCAGCCTGAAAGAGGAGGACTGGGAGGTTTGTGCTGAAGGGCCGTGCAAATGCGTACCGGAAATGAAATCGGTGTCCTGTTGGAGATACAATTTGCTAGATCTACCTCCGACGCAATTGGTCCCTTCCGATGTGTTGAGGCTGTAAACAATTTAACAAATAATATCATCATGTTTGTTGAACAGATATGTAATGATGGATCTCTTTTAGAAAGTAATCGAATTAAATCCTAAAGATAGAAATGCTTTATATAATTCATAAATAAAAATTAAATTTTTATATATAATATTCTATTATAAATCTCAATTTCATATAATTTTTAAATAAAATTAAATTATTGTAAAATAATTACGAGGGGGTAATCATTTAATGTAATCGTGGGACAAAGTCCTCGAAATCATTATAAAATTCATACGAAATCTCTATGTATAATCCAATAATTACATATGCAACCACGAAATCATCATATAATATTAAATAAAAAAAATTATATAATAATAATATAATAAAATATATATATAATATATAATAATATTATGTTATGTATATTTCTCATATAATATATGTATAATATATGCTTTACGAATAAAAATATTATTTGTTTGGTGTATTTACTTTCTAGGGACCTTGGAAGTAATCGACTCAGCGCTCTGCACAGAGACACATTTAAGAATATGACGCAGTTGTACCATCTGTGAGTTGTGTAATAATCGAGAGATGTATGTATAATATACTAATGAAATTGTGAATTACAGAGATCTAAGCAGTAATTTAGTAGAGCATTTGGCACCAAGCCTGTTCTTGCCGTTGCACGGTATCGCAAATGTCAGATTGAGTAATAACCTCTTGAAGGAAATGCAACGCAATCAATTCTATGAACTAAGGAATCTCCGAATACTGTACGTCGGATGCTTAATTACTAATACTAATTAAGAAAGAAACACAAGAACTAACTCAAAGTCGTATCAATACTTTCGTAGATATTTTATATAATTTTTAATTTAATAGTTGTTTCGAGAAAATTAGCTAATTTAAGTTTCGAGAAAGTTAAAAAAAATGTTTGAATGCTCAATGTATAGAAGTGTATTTTGTATATATTTCTATAATTATATTAAAATTCATTTTATTTAATACATTTTGCAAAAAAAATATTATTAAATGTGCTGTAACTAATATTTATTTTTTTTTGAGTTGAAATTCAGTTTCTTATCTTTTTATAAACTTATTAAAAATTTAATACACATTTTTTATTCTATTTAGCGATTTATCGTCAAATAAACTCCGGACTTTACCAGAAGATCTTTTTTTGAGCAATAGTCACCTGGTTTTGCTGGATCTCTCCTTCAATCGCATTTCGTTATTACCTCCCGGTGCATTTCATGGCCTTGGGAATCTTGACGAATTATTGCTGGGTGAAAACCGATTAGCTGGATTACCTGTTTCAATTTTTCGAGATACTATTAATCTCAGACGTCTTGCACTTGAGGAAAATCGTTTGAAAGAGTTGCCTAACGGTATATTCAAAGATCTGACGTCTCTTAAAGAATTGAATATGCGTAACAATCGACTAACGGAACTGCCCAAGGGATTATTGTTGACTTTGACACAATTAGAAATTCTGGAAATATCAAGCAATAGAATATCTCGTGTAAATGTCTTTTACATTTTATAAATTTAATTTCAATTTTGTTTTAAAGAATTACGATGTTATAAAAAGCATTTATAATATATTATCATTATAATATATTTATTATGAAACATAAATTATAAGGTTTTAGAAGATTGTTTCTCTTTAAAAATAAACAATTTGAATATTTGCTATAGATTGATGCAAAAGCATTACACGGTATGCCAGCGCTTCGAGAACTTCGAATAGGACATAATCATATAAAATATTTGCCACCTGGATTATTTAATAATTCTATATCTTTGGAACGTCTTATTCTCTATGGCAATCGAATAGAAATTCTAGTAAGAGGCGTTTTTCGCGGCTTGTTCAATCTTACTTCTCTTTTTTTGCAATCCAATCGACTGAAGATATTACAATCAGGAGTTTTTGAAGACACGCCAAACTTACGGAAATTGTAAGTCAATACTAAGAATTCTGTATACTTTATTGTAATGTTACTTTAAAATTAATATTATTTAATATTAAAATTTTTGTGTGTATTAATTTTTTTACTTATATACTTATATCATGACAAGTTTTCTTTGAAATATACAGATAAAATTTCAATTTATATATCTGCTTTATAAATCTGTTTACTGTGACTTTTAGATTAGAAATATATTTTTGCTTATAAATAAAAAATAATATTCTTTTCTTTCTTCTCTCTCTCTCTCTCGCTCTCTCTTTCTTTCTCTCTGTTCTCTGTCACGCCATATCATAATTTTTATTTTTATTTTAGACAACTGGAATCAAATGACCTCTCCTTCTTGCCAGCTGGTAGTATGGACGCTATATCCACAATTCAGCAAGTACGTCTGAGTCAAAATCCCTGGCATTGCGATTGTCGTGCCTCTTATGTTGCTTCTTGGCTGCGCAAAAGATTCGCCAGCTTTGCGAATCTGACCAATCCGTTGCAGATACAGCGGGTTTTAATTATGACAGGTAATTGGAGTATCTGGGAATTTGGAGCTGGTGCAACATGCAGGGGTCCAGGTATACTAGGCGGCCAGTCACTGCTACGTTTGACTTTTCATGAACTCTGCGAAGGTCAGTGGGCCTCCATGAAAGGTATCATCCCACGCTTACCCCTCGACGTTATAGCGCCATCCATCACGCCACAAGTAACCAGGAAAGACACGATTTTGGTACGAATTACATTAGATTAAATAGAATATTTCAAATATCAGTCTTTATTTTCAATGACACAATAAACCTACAATATGACAGATACAGAAGTTTACATAAAAATATTAAATTAATTAAATTTGGTACAATGGAACAAGATAATGATGATTATTATTTCTTCTCTAGTTAAATATTATTTACTATTTTTTGCTTATGCTATTACAGGTGTGAAAGATGTGAAACTCAAACCTCTGAATTTTCTACAAAGAATGGAATAATGCAGAAAATTGACGATAATTAATGTGCCTTTTAAAATTTCTTTTTGAATTATGTTCAACTACTTTTTGTTTTATTTTCGTTATTATGAGAAATATAGTGAAATATATCTAGGTGTCTTGCAATTACAGGCTGCGTTTGTGTGATAATCCAATAAATAATACTTAATGATAATACTTATAATATAAAATAAGATATAAAGCATCAGAATTTCATATAAAAATGAATTTAAAAAAATATATATTTACTTATATATAATCGTTCGTTTTTAAAGTCTGTTTATATATTAAATGATTTCATTGACTTGTAATTAGATGGAATTAAAATGTAATAAACTATACTTATAAAAAAATGAAAGCTACACATTATATTATTGTAAATTAAATAAAAAAAATGAGATTGATATGCAAATACAAATTACGAAGTTTCATTGTGTAAAATAATAATTATTTCATCGATAATAAAATATAACTTTGCTTTAAATATTTCGTATGTTAATAGCACATCAATCTCGCGGACAGATAAACTGCAACTTAAGAGTGACGGATACAGATAAATTTTCATATATATTACAGTAATTATTATATAATTTATAAACATAAAATATAACATAAAATATAAACATAAATATAACATGCGGCCATACAATGAGAATTGCCGGCCGCATTATAATAAAAATTCAAACACTCACATAAACATAAACATAGCGTTTAGAACAATTCGAAATGGAAGGGATCCAACAAGAGAGTCGAACTTATTGATTGGTCGGTCGGTCATTTTATTACAATATACTCTTCGTAATGGCAACATCAAGTACTAACGGTGTTATCGAGCTATTGGAAAAGTTCTTAAAGATTCTCAAAGAAGAACAAGTGTTTGATGAAACTCGTTCTTTCATACCTATGCTTCATTCCAAAGATTTGCAGGTAAATAATAGTTTGATTTTTTATGTTAATAGTTAACTCCGAATGTGTGTGTGTGTGTGTGTGTGTGTGTGTGTGTGTGTGTGTGTGTGTGTATGTGTTAATCTATAATACTTTCACATTTGAATTACTCATTGGCTTTTCTTTATATTATGCTTCTCAATATTATACTATTACGGCAACGTTCTTACCTGTACTTCTTGAAAATTTATTTTTATTTTATAATATAATTTTGCATTACATTATATTTCTATCTACTGGTTTTACAATTTCAATTATAATGTTATATATTTTTTAAATAAGTATAAATGCAAAATAAGTCATCTGTTTGATTTATCCGTGCGAAATGTATGCATACGTGAATAATTGATGAAGAAATTATTATAAAACTGATATATTAAATAACGTATAAAACAAAGTTAATAATAATTTAAATATTCATATTTGTTATCTTTTATTATTGTGGTCTTAGTAACATTGAAAGGACAATATATCAGCTCTCACGAATTCGACACTTTTGGTCGCATTTACATTAGTGGTAACATCATAATAATGGCAGGCTGATTAGAATAAAAAAAATTTTTTACAACAATAAACCGTTTATTGGAGCCGTACAATGCGAATACATAATAAGCAAAAAACGAAGCGTAGACCGGTCGAAGTTGGATTTTAATATTTAAATAATTACATGTGAATTTATATTTATATTATTTCCAGATCTAACTTCGATCGATAAAACCTTTTATCACCACAAATTTTTCATACGACATTCCTTTTGTGCACAGAAGGAGATATCATTTTCTTTGGACAATGAGCCAGCAAGCGATGAGCAAATCGAAGACGTAATACGACAGATTATACGACGATCTGTGAAAACGTCCAGGTCGCATTTTTATAATGAATGGTATGGGAGCCTTGACGAGTATGGATTAATTGGCTCCTGTTTGACGGAAGCGTTGAACACTAGCATGTAAATTAAAATAAAAATCATATTTTTTACAATGGTTTCAGAAATAACTTGAAGAATTTGTCTTTTTGAGATCTCAGACGGAATAATAGATAAATAACGTTAAAAGGAATCATGACTAATATCGAAAAAAATGACTTTTAATATAATCACTTTAGAGTCACTTTTGATGCCATTTTGATATTACGATTTTTGTTCTGCTTGAGATCAAGCGAATTACAAATTAAATAATAATAAATTGTAATTCACATTTATAATTCTTGACCATTCTTCTTATTGCTAGAGATACTTACGAAAACGCTCCTGTATTTACGCTGATAGAGAAGGTTGTGATACAAGCATCATTGAATTTGATGGGCTACCCATTTCGTAGCGACGGTATAATGACGCCGAGTGACACTGTATCGATCATGTATGCAATGATAGCCGCTAGACATACCATGGATCCATTAATTAATAAACAGGGCATGAACACACATATTCCAACTTTATCGTGTTTTACCAGTGAATGTGGCTATAACTCCGTTATGACAGCTGCTCATTGGTTGGGCATTGGTATCGAAAACGTTTACACGGTATTATTGTTGCTTGTCAAGGATAGGAATTGTTTATCGAAATAGAAATTCTGCCTGCTCTTTTAATTACTTTTTAGAATAAAAGTTTGAATTTTAGAATTTTTATCTATAGATATTATCATCTTCTGAATTTAATTTCGCTCAGATGCCACTTCAGCCACAAATCTACTTCATTAGGTTTTTTCTATCAATATTTCTTGGATATCTTGATTAATTGTTTATATATCTATTATTAATTAAGTGGTGTAAAGTTAGCTTTTGAATTATAGATTTATTTTACCTTTAGCTGGAACAAATGTTTGTCGAAAAATATGTAAATGATATCCACATTTATTATATTAATTTTTCTTCTTAAATACTAAAAAAAAATCTTTTAGTCTTCAAAGGGATACTGTCATCTATTTTACCGGTCGAACGTGATAATTTTTGTAAAGAATTTTCGTATACAGGGTGTCCCACGTAACATGATCATGATTTTTCCGAAAAAACAACGATACCTAATTCGATACAAAAATTCTTTACGAAAGTTTATACGTATGTTGCGTGCGATATTAATCCATACAGACCTCAAAGGGACGTCCTAAAGACGTCCAAAGGACATTTTTGTGTCCTTTGAACACCCTAAAGACGTTCCCAGAATATCTCTCCAATAAAGTGTATGGGGATGTAATAGTAAGTAACGATGTGTTAATGTACGTGTGTAAATTGTATTTCATCGATAAAACATAGCAATAATCTTATTAGAGTTCGGCTATTTCACTGATATTCTCTTAAACTCGATTAAATTTAATTAACTGATAATCGCGCATTTCCTTTTGTTACAGGTAAAAACGGATAAGTTTGGTCGCATGGATACGAATAATCTAAAAAAAGTTTTAAAGAAAGCGACAATACAGAACACAGTACCGTTTTTTATGAACGCCACTGCTGGCACTTTCGTATTTGGGGCTATCGATCCGTTGCGGAAATTATTACAAATTTGCCAGCGATGGAATTTATGGCTACACGTAGATGTTCGTATGCAGTATGAAAGATATTAAAGCTATAGGGAAACAATATGAATAAAAAATTATTTACAGGCCCGCATTTGTGGTTCTTTGATGTTCTCCAAGACATTCCGACATAGATTACGAGGCATCGAACGGTTCGTAATTATTCTCAAAAAAAAACAACTGTTCTATAATTCAATGTTGACGTAACGATCATATATAACATAATCGAATTACAAATGATCTATACATCGATCCTAGATAATTGTTATACGTAGGGGAGACCGGGGACAAAAGTAACAAGGGGACAACAATAACATCGTTAATATTTCTTAAATTATAATAGATATGTGTATGCAGCTGCATGGTAAAATTCTATAGACAGATTGGCATCGAATCGTTCGTTACATGCTGGTTCTTGAGGAACGTGCACGAGTGTAGGAGTAGAAATTACTTTTTTTATGCATCAAGTAAGTTTTATTGCGTGCACAAAATTTAAAATATTTTTTTTTCTTTATGACACGAAGGTATAATTTATTATCTTAATATGTTTTAATGATTATCTGCATTGATAGTTTGCACATTTGAATTGATTTTTATCTAAAAAATTTACTATAAATCATAAAATACCACTAGGGGACAATAGTATCGATGCCTGGGATCAATTATAACGTAATCTGAACTTATTTGATTTTATTTTAGAATTATTTTGTACAATGCTATTTGTTTTTCCTCATAGAATGCTGTTAACAAGAAAACCCAAGACAGATAAGAGAAAAATTATATAAAAGAAGTGTCTTTATACAAATACACATTTAAAGAGATTATAAAGGACCAGTTATCCATTTGTGCAGCTGCAAGAAAGATGACTTATGTAGTGTTATGTACTTCTGGCAAATGTGGTACAATTATCCCCCTCTACTGTTACACCCTGACGAAAATAAGAAACTTTATAAAGCGTTGACAACCGTTTAATGACGATTTTTTGAGAATTTTTACGCTTTCAAACTTTATAAGAACGCTTATAGGACACCATTGGGTTTAAACACTTTCAGAATGCTTATAAAATATAGTATACGCTTATAAAATATGGTATATCGTTTCATGAAAGTTCTGTAATGTTAAAGCAACGCTTTGTAGAGGACGCTCAGTAAATGTTGATGCACCTTCCTGCAGAGAGTTCACTGTCAGACTTTTCAAACATTTATCAAATGCTTTTCTCAATACCGTAAGACAAGCATTTTCCTTCCGTTCAGCAAACTCTGTTCCAACGTGGCGAATTAGTAAATCGCAGTAAACGTTTTCTAAGGCGTTTACGCAAACGGCTTAAAGACCCAAAAAACGTTTTTCTCAACCATGTAACACAAGCGTTTTTCCTCCGTTTAGCAAACATTCTTCTACATGTCCAATTTTTAAGCAGTGCACAACATCACCACTAGAGGGGACACAGCAAAGTTTAATTTTTCGTATTTAAAAAACCACATTGAATAGGATAAAAGGCGCAGTATGATGAGACTTTTCAGTGAAAAATTTTGTTCTTTTTTTTGATAAAATGTCGGCGTTCAGCAGACTCAACACTTAAACTGAACGCTCACAAACGCTTTTTACGCTATTTCTAATGACAAAAGTAAACGCCTGTTAAATGTTTAACAGAAGCTGCACGCAGTTCTCAATGGTGGAGCAAACGTTTATTAAACGCTATACACAAAACCTATAAACATTTTAAACAACTGTCAGTAAACGCTTGACGTCAAGTAAACGTTATGTAAACGCTTCAAAATGCTGTATACAAATGCATTCCAAATGTTGCAGCGGTGCAATTTCCGCTTTATGAACACTCTAATGTTTCTAAATTCTCAACAACTTCTGCAAACGCTCATGTAGATGTTAAACAAACGTTTATGAAACTTCTTATTTTCGTCAGAGAATGCCTTTCAAACGTTGCAATGTTGCAATTTCTGCTTTATGAACACTCTATTGACCGTTTTTAAACTCTCAACAAACTTCCGCAAACGCTCATGTAAACGTTAAACAAACGTACGTTTATGAAACTTCTCATTTTCGTCAGGGCAATCATCCACGAGGTTGAGACGGTTGTAACAAAATTCCTCATAGTCTTTAAACAAACATAACTTTTTTTTCTAATTACATAAAAAAATTAAACCAAAAAAATTTTATAGCTAAATAAATTCTACATCTATAAAGATACATATTTTTTTTAATGTAAATATTATATTTTAACTATTATACTTAAAACATATACTATTGGAAGAGGAATTGCCTGTGCTGACTTGTATACCGAGGTAAAGCCAACATCTGTGCGAGAGAGAAAGGTAGAGAGTCCCAAATGTTCGCAATGTGCATGCGCAGCACCGTCGTCTGTGTGAATTGTACAGTTGTGTAGTGTTTCTTACACATCTGTGTAATGTACGAATGTGTAAGAAACACTAAACCAACTGTACAATTCACACAGATGACAGTGCTGAGCATGTGCATTGCGAACATTTGGAACTCTATAGCTTTCTGTCTCGTACATATGTTGGCTTCACGTTCAGCGCGCCCTATTCCTCTTCCAGTAGTATATGTTCTAAGCTATTATAATACTTCAAAGTCAAAATGTTACTTTTGTCCCAGGTCTCCCCTATACGCGATTTATTTGAAATAAATAAAATTCTTTTATTAAAATGTTGAACAATGTTTACTAGTTCAAAGGATATTTTTTCCTTTGGCGATATTTATAATAGAAGATTTAAAATTAAAATTCCTTGATACAAAGTAATCATCAGTTATCTTCTCTTTGTTCCGAACGATTTAGTTCACACTCGATGTCTTGGAATCCTCATAAAATGCTCGGCGTACCATATCAGTGTTCTATGATCTTGATTAAAAGTAAGTCCGAGAGGAGTGTACATTCTTATTTAAAAACAATAAATGAAGGTGAAAAACACTATATAATTGATTTAGACAGTGTTAAGAGTACACAAAGCAGTAGAAAGGTAATTACAAATCACAATCTTTTTGATAAGAATACAAAATACAATATCTAGGGATGGAAAAGTTACTTTTTTAAAAGTAGCTTATTACTGCTGCTGTTACTTAAAAAGTAACTATTCGTTACTTTTTCCGTTATATTTTTAATGCTAAAACAAGAGCAAATTGAATAAATAATTTACTTTTGTAATATTTTTTGTTCAAATATTTATGAAAGCAATAAAATTTTTTATCTTAAATTCGCAAGACAGCAAACAGTTTAAAATCTATGCGATATAATAATGCGACTCTAAAATTGGTTTATATGATATCTTAAAAAGTCTATATTTATACGTATTAAAAATCTTAAGAGATGATTATACATTTTTCTATTTTATTTTCTTGTAATTCGCGTTTTAATTAAATTTTTAGATCGTAATTAGTATTTAGGGATAAAAAGAATTGCTCTTTCGAAAATTTAGTCGATGACATGGGCGGTAATTTTTGTGAGGTGTGTGTGAAGTATTCCACACATCTGAATTTTTCGTGTGTGGAATTCCACACATGAAAAATTCTTCATGAACAATTTGAAAATAACAAGTGTTAAACTAATACTGGTTTCGGAGTACACAAAACTAATTCAAATATTATTAACAATACCGGTGACGTCGTGTACTGCAGAACGCAATCTTTTTCTGTATTGAGAAGATTAAAAACATATTTTCTACGATGCAGCAAGTTCGGTTGCTATTCAGCAGCTATATTACATGTGCACTCTGAGATTGCTGAAACTTTAGATATTGATGCACTTATGGATGAGTTCATTTAAAAAATAAAATTCGGAAGTCTCTCTCTCTCTCTCTCTCTCCTCTCTCAACGTTTGCTCTACGTCTACGAGACGTAGAGCATTAAATTTATTAAATTTTTTCATTAAGTTTTGTTTTATGAGTTTAAGTATGTTTCAAGTTAAACTATAAATATTTATAAAATATTTATAATTTCGTTGCTCATCATTTTTTACGATTATAAAGAGATTTTAATATGGAGATTAAATAAGTTCCGGAAATTTTTTCTTCCCCCCCAACCCCCACGATCAAGTTGTCCAACTCCACACACGGCGAATCGAGTCGCCGCCCCTGGTCGATGATGTGTGATGGGATATTTAGAAGAAAGATATAAAAATTAAAAATTTAATAGAGGTTAAAAAAATAAATGACGCTATCTTTTTTTTTGACAAATATTCAAGTAATATAAATAGCTTGTATCTTCTTGAGTAGAATATATCAATTATTATTATTTGAGTAATTTATATTAAAATTATAGATTCTCAAGATGATAGAAAGATGAAATAAGAAGGTACACAATTGTAAAAAGCTTTTTTACTTCTTTATACATTTCATAAAAATTGTAAAGATTATGAGTAACGGTAACGGCATTACAAATAACGCGTTAATTTCCATCCATAGAAATACTATATTTTTAAAATAATTTAAGACTCTTTAAAAAAATATAAAAAAATAAAAAGACATCTAAAAGGCGTTTAATAGATTTTTGAAAGATGATTAAATAATCAAGATTTTATTCAATTTTTATGACTAAGAAATGATCATTATATTCCTATTCTAACATTTGATAATACAATAAAACGTCTCAAGGTCGATGCAATGAAATTTTGGTTAATGTGGAAAGCTCGCGGCAAGAGTGGTTTACAGCAATTGATGAATCAAGCCATATTCTGTGCAAAACACTTATTAATACAAATTAAAAAGACCGATGGCTTTCGTTCGGTACTGGAACATTACGATGGTACCACCATTTGCTTTTGGTAAGGAATCTTATATACATTTCGTTGAAATTCGTAATTTTAACGTGTTGGATTCTTTTAGGTACATACCTCCGAGCATGCGTAATGCGAAAGAGACTCCAACTTGGTGGGAAAGAATATACATAGTCACAGTAGAAATAAAAAACCGTTTGATTCTGGATGGAATTTTCATGATCGATTGTGCGTCCTTACCGCAATCGAACTTGGGCAATTTCTTTCGCATAATGGTGGAATGTCATCCGTTACCCTCACGATCATCCATGAATTACATCCTTAATCAAATAGAAAAGGTCGGGGCTGACTTGTAAATGAAGTATGCACGATTACTTCCATTTATCAACGTTTGTTTGAGCTGTATGTCAATAACTAGAATCCGACCGAAACTTTTACCGAAATTGAAAATGAACACTTATTATGTGTCAGTTTCGACTTTCATATAGTTTTTCTTCATAAAAATTAATTTTAGTATATATAATTATTGTTTCAATAATTAAATTATAATGTTTATGAAGAAGAAATACTTATATTCTTTAGCTAAAATTGACACACAACCGAAATTTTGATTTCGGCCGAAATTTAATTATTGTTTCAATAAATTATGATATTTATGAAGAAAAAATATGATATATGGTCTACACATATGCCTTTATAGGAATCCTATTTTTTAATTTTGGTTTCGGTTTTGGTTGAAATTGACATGCAGTTGAATGTTTCGGTTCAGTTTCGATCATAAAAGTTTCGGTCGGACTTATTATGACAATAACAGTGGGTATATCGATATATTTTCAAACAAATTTTTCATGTTTTGAAACTTTTGTAGAAAGTTTATTACTACCGAAATTTATACTTTTATTTCATTTACATCCTGTATATACATTAATAAAGATAGAATTAATTATCAATATGATCTGTTTGTATTATCTCTTTTTTTTGTTTAATAACATACATACGTATCTATTAATTGATGAACATAGAATATAATACTGTATATGTATTACAACACACACACACACACACACACACACACACACACACACACACACACACACACACACACGCGCGCACACGCACACGCACACGCATACACAAAGCATTTAGAATGATTCAGTCGAAATAGAAGGGATTCTACGAAAGGATCGATTAACCGTTCATTTAATTTCAATATACTTTTCGTGATGGCGTTAAGTGCGAATGGTATTGTCAATCTATTAGAGAATCTCTTAAAGATCCTTAAAGAGGAACAAATGTTTGATCGATCTGATGATCATCTTGTCATATGAGTCACCTTCATCCCGAAGATTTGCAGGTAAGTAATAATTTAATATCTTATGTGAATAGTTCATTCCCACATTATATGTGTATTAATCTATTTTCCTTTGAATTACTCATCGACATTTTTTGTTTCTCAACATCACACTATTATGGCAATTGTTCTATTTATCAATATAATCAAAATAAGTTTTTTTGGTTCTATTTATATTAATTGCGTATTATAATTTTATCCTATAATATAATCCTACATTAAATAAAATTTCAGTTATTATCATGGTTTTATAATTTAATTATCACTTAAATATTTCACAAATAAGTATATCGTCTGTTTAATTCATCTATACAAAATGGATGTGTCCGTGAATAATGGATAAAGAAATTGTTAAAGCTGATGTATTAAACAACGTATAAAATAACAAGTACACTCTACTTGATTATTAATTTTATTTTATACGTTGTTTAATACATCAGCTTTAACAATTTCTTTATCCATTATTCACGGACGCATCCATTTGTATACGAGTGGTATAGTTCGTTCGATATCTTTCACTAATGTTGTCTCATTATCAGTAACATTGAAAGGATAATATATCAACTCTATACGAATTTAATACTGTTTTGGGTGTATTTAGTGGTAATGTCTCGAGTAATGTTATGGGTAAAGTGTGCATAGTGCCAGTGTCAGTATTGCCCGAGTTGCCTGCTGCATAATGTCAACATTGCCCATTTCCGGACTTTGCCCGTAACAGTAACATCAAAATAATGGCAGGCTAATTAGAATAAGAAAATATTTTACATTACCACGAATTTCTCGTCCGACATTATATTTGTGCAGAAAGAGATATCATTTTCCCTGGACAATGAGCCAACGAGCGACGAACAAATCGAAGAAGTAATACGACAGATTATACGACGATCCATGAGAACGTCCAGTCCGTATTTTCATAATGAATTTTTTGCCGGCTTTGACGAGTATGGATTAATTGACTCCTGTCTAACGGAAGTGTTGAATACTAACATGTAAGTATAATTCCAATTAATCAAATGGATAAACTATTGAAAACAGACTATCTCTGATTTCAATGAAACTTTGTCAAAAGCTTTATTTCGGGTTAAAACAAAAGCTCTTAAAAAGATTTTTGACGATTCCTAAGAAGCAGCTATTTTTTTAAATACGATAGTAAAATGATTAATAAATATTGGTAATTATTTATTATAGGGGACCCAATCCCGATGATCTTGACCTTGACATATGTTATCATGAGTCATCATCAGGGTCATATTAAATCAAGATCATCGGCGCTCGGTCCCCTGTAGTAAATAATTACCTAAAATGTATTCTATTGTAAATGTAAAAAAATTAATTTATTTAATAAAAACGAAGATTGAGGGAATTCAGTGACTTTTTCTCTCTCTTTATAATATACTTTAAAATTATTAAAATTGATGATTTCATCATTAACATAAATATTCATTATTCATTTTATTATTTTATTTAAAAAATGGCTTTGTCATAGGAATCGCCAAAAATCCCTTTAAGGGCTTTTGTTTTAACTCGAAGAGAGAGAGAGAGAGAGAGAGAGAGAGAGAAAGAGAGAGGGAAACTTTTCATAAAGTTTCATCAAAATCGGACGTAGTTAGTTTTCGGAAGTATATTTCAATCAGGTTTATGAATAAATGATTACACTGATTACTTTACTTTCCCTTTTTACTATTTTAATTATTTTTTCAAAAATTTGTACCTATATATTGTTTAAAGAAAAAAAGAGTCAGAAAAAGTTTTTAAAAAAATATTCATTGTTATTATTTAAATAAATTTAAAAAAATCATAAATACTCATATAGCGTAATATCATAGTAATATCACAGCAATATCATTTTTCCATTGCAATATTACTATGGAATCAAGCAGAAATATCGTTGAAATATTACTGTAATATCATAGTACTTAATATTACAATGTCCGCGAAAATGAATTATTTTTGAGATGTATCACAGGAATATTATTGAGATATATCACAGAAATATCACTGTAATATTATGTAATATTTTTGTGATCTTTATGTGCAATGTTTATATTTATGTAATATTTATTGGAAAAAATTAAAACATTTTAAAGAATTTCTTAAAGACTTTATTGAATTGATATTTTTAATGTTATTTTAAAAATTATTTCATATGATATTAATTAGAAAATAATACTGATTGTCAATACAAAATAACTATTATATAATATTATAATGAACTGAAAAAGATATAATAAACTAAATATCACTTATAAAATTATGTACGTGTAATTTTGTGATATTTTAATAATGTCTTAATGACTTCTTCAAAATCCATTCTACAATTGCGTAAGCTGAGTGGTTGTAGTTGTAAGAATTAACCAATCACAGTCAAATATGAGAAAAATATTCGACTACGCTTACGCAATTGTAGAATGGGCTTTACATCATAAAAGCGTTATTAATTATAATATCACTTCGTTACTGAAGATGTCATATTGCCACAATATTATTGATAATTCAACATTGAATCAACACATAATGCATCAGTAATATTTCTGTGATATTCTACCGTTATATGTATTTCTGATATGTTGCAATATTACTACGATATTATTATGATATTAGGTGCTATGTGGGTATCTTATGAGTGCTTTGATAGTTCTAATTATTATAATAATTAAATATAAAAGCAATTGAAAGCTAACGTGAACGAACACTCTAAGGATAATATTTTAATTATATTTAAGATTGTGATCTTAAGTATGATTTCGAGAAGCTATGCAGTTAATTTATTAATTAGAGTACAATAGTTTATATTACATTTCACCACATTATTGCAAAAAGAGACTTGATTTATAAATCACACATATTCATTTACATCTTATAAATTTATGATTAGTTCCTTAAATCCATTTTCAAAATATATGGAAAATCGGACAACTTCCAGATCACGTTGGAGCTACCAGTTCTCGTCCGATCACTGAAGTCAAGCAACGTTGAGCACGGTTAGTACTTGGATGGGTGACCGCTTGGGAACACCGTGTGATGTTGTCCCCTCTTTTTTTTATTTTTTTGTTCCATGTTAGAGAGAAATTTATAAAGAAAACCAACGAGATACTATTAAGGAACCTTAAAAAAAAATGTTTAATCAGTAGGCTTCGGAAAAGAAATAATTGAAGAATTTTTATTAGATAGTGTCTATTCTGATTGAGAAACATACTACTTTGTATTTTCTTTTTTTTTTTTTTTCGAAGAAATGTGTTTATTAGTCAAAGTTTCGTTATCATTTCATAAGCTACATATAATACCGCTAACAATTTACATCCAAGAAAATGACCTTACAGTTTCAATTAATGAGTATTAAAGGTTTAAAAATGGGAAAGTTTGGTTTTATCAAAAAATACTTTTTTTCAATGGTTTCAGGAGAATTTGAAGAATTTGTCTTTTTAAAATCATCTCAGACAAAATAATAGATCACGATATCAAAATGACATTAAAATGAATCGTGACTGATCGAAAAAAATGACTTTTATAATATAATTATTTTAGAGCAATTTTAACGCCATTTTAATATTACATTTGTGTTCTGTTTTGGGTGTTAAGTAAGTTATAAATTAAGTAACAGTTCTCAATCATTTTTCTCATTGTTAGAGATACTTATGAAAATATGCCCCGTATTTACGTTAATGGAGAAGGAGGTGATCCAGGTATCATTGAAACTGATGGGCTATCCAATTCGTGGCGAAGGTATAATGACGCCGAGTAGCAACATATCGATCATGTATGCAATGATGCTTGCTAAGAAAAATGTCCTAGATCAAGTCAAGACAAAGGAATTATATGGAAATGTACCTTTAACGTGTGTCTTACCAGTGAGTGTGGTGATTATTCCGTCAGGACAGCTGCTCATTGGTTGGGCATTGGCACCGAGAACGTTTACACGGTATTATCTACTATTTTGTTTGTTGAACCTTTAGTCTTTGAGTATTATATGGATAATTTAACTTGCAATATACAAACAACATATGA